TGTATTTTAGTGGCAAGGTTAAACACAAGAATAGAGTAGAAATAATAATTGCCAAAGATTTTATAGAAAATGTAGTTACAGTCATTAGGAAATGTGATAGGATTATATTAGTTAAACTAGCTATTTGAGAGAATATAGTGAACGTTATTAGTGCATATGCCCCCCAACTAGGATTAGATGATCATACTAAGAGAGTTTTTTGAGACCAAATGGATGAGGTATTATAGAATATACTCATAGGAGAGAACTTAGTTATAGGTGATGATTTCAATGACTATGTAGGAATAGATAATTAGGTTATGAGAGAGTGCATGGTGAGTATGGTTTTGGTGATAGAAATTAGGCTTGAGAGAATATTTTAGATTTTGCATTGGTTTCTGACCTGGTGGTGGCCAATTCTATGTATAAGAAGATAGATGAGCATTTGATAACCTTCAAGAGTGGGTCAATTAAGAGCTAAATAGATTACTTTTTAGTAAGAAAATGGGACTGTCTAAAATGCAGCGACTGTAATGTGATTCTTGAAGAGAGCCTGACGTCTCAACATAAGATTTTGATACTAGATTCATGCTTTAAAGGGCAATACCAAGCTCAGAAAGATAGTGAGCGTCGCAAGACTAGATGGGGGGAACCAAAAAGGGATAAACTAGACACATATAATAATAGAATAGATAAAGAAGGTACTTGGGACTTGGAAGATGATGCTAACACTATGTGGAACTCAATGGCCAATTGTATAAGGAGAATCTCAAGGGAAGTTCTTGGAGAGTCGAAAAGAAAGGGACTCAATTTTAGGGAAACTTGATGGTGGAAGGAGAAGGTCCAAGGGTAATAATAAAAATAAAAAAATAAAAAAGTGATAGAATGACAGAACTAAGGAAAACCTTGAGCGCTACAGATTAGTCAATAAGGAGGTCAAAAAAGTAGTGAAAGAGACTAAGTTAAAAGCCTATAATGACCTATACACTAGACTAGATAGTAAGGAGGGAGAGAAAGGGATATACAAACTTGCTAAGATAAGAGAAAGAAAAATAAGAGATTTTAATCAGGTTAAGTGCATTAAGGGCGAGGACTCTAAGGTGTTGGTAAATGATGAAAAGATTAAGAAGAGATAAAAGAACTAAATTGAGAAGTTGTTAAATGAAGAAAATGAAAGTAAGTAAAAAAGAGAGGAAGTATGCGGTAATAAGGAAAATCAGGACTATAGATTCTATCGTAGAATTAGGGACTTTGAAGTGGAGTTTGCACTTAAGAATATGAAATCGAATAAGGCTTTTGGACCTGGTGATATATCTATTGAAAGGTGGAAATGTTTGGGTAAGAAAGGAGTTATTTGGTTGACTAGGTTATTTAGCAAGATTTTGTTGACTAAGAAAATGCCAAAGTAATGGAGGAAAAGCATTTTAGTGCCAATATATAAGAATAAAGGAGATGTCCAAAATTACAACAACTATAGAGGAATCAAGTTAATGTGTCATACAATGAAAGTGTGGGAGAGAGTGATGCATTGTGAGATATAACAGAATTGTCAGACAATCAATTTGGGTTTATGCCTGGTAGGTCAACAATAGAAGCGATCTATCTTTTGAGGAGAGTAATAGAAAAGTATTGAGAAAAGAACATAGACATTCATATAATTTTTATCGATTTTGAGAAAGCGTATGATAGAATGCCTCGGGATATAATCTGGTGGGTGTTAGAAAAGAAAAGGGTGACAGAAGATTACATTGATGTGATTAGGGATATGTATGAAGGTGTGGTGACCACTATCAAATCGCATGTTGAAGAGACGAGTGAATTTCCAATTACTGTAGGATTACACCAAGGATCTACTTTAAGTCCTTATTTTTTCATTTTAGTTATGGATAAGTTGATGTGCAATATTCAGGATGATGTGTCATGGTGTATGCTTTTTTGAGATAATATCGTGTTAGTAGATGAGACTAGAGAAGGAGTTAATGCAAAGTTAAAGATTTAGAGAAAAACACTTGAATCTAAAGGATTTAGGATAAGTAGAACTAAGATAGAGTATATGGAGTGTAATTTTAGTAACAGTAACAATGGAAGCAGAAGATAAGTGAAAATTGAGGACCAAGCACTACGTAAGAGTAGACATTTTCGTTATTTAGGATCGATTATCACAACGGTTGATTTTCCATTGCATCATGTAGCAAAATGCACTAAGAATTTTGAATTTTTGCAAATGGTCGCTTACTGTTTTCATCTGTTAGAGAACTTTATTTATAATAATAATAATAATAATAATAATAATAATATTTGAAACTCTTAAAAAAAATTCTAATTTAATCCACAATGATGTAGCATAATTGATACTAATATATTGATTTTTAATTTGTCACACACTTAATTATGATAGTAGATATAATGTCCAATTGTCTTGCCACATTATTATAATTGAAGTGGGTAAAAATTAATCAAGTCTTGGTGCTAGGCCCAATGCGGTGCTCACTCCGAGGTTGAGCTAGGTTGGATCTCGGCCCTATGGCCAACACTTGCTCCGAAGCAAGGCAATCATAGGAGCTCGGCCCAATGTACGAATGTCACTCCAAAGTGGGCCGAGCAACATGGTGGACCTCCTGGACGGGCAGCCAACTACTCCAAAGTAGGTTGAGTAACATGTTAAACCCCCTGGATGGACACACAACCACTCCGAAGTGGGCTGAGCAACATGTTGGACCTCCTGGTTGGACAACCATTCTAGAGTAGGCCAACTCGAAGAAGACCAATTCACTGAAGATCTTTCTTGGGCCCACAAGAGACAAACAACTCTGCTTCTCTCCCTCTGTATGAGGAAGGGATAAACCTAGATTGACGTGAACTAATATAGTAAATAGAGATATAAATTTCCTTAATTTAACTAAAGAAATGGCCTTGAATAGAGTCAAGTGAAGAAAAAGGATTCATGCAGCCGACCCCATTTGTTGAGATTTAAAGCTGGCACTACAAAAAATTAAGGTTTTGGAGACCAGAATTTAGGGACAAAATTATTTTTTAGAGACCAAATATTTTGTGGTGAAAAGTATCGTTATTATATTTTTAGTAACGAAAATTAGACATTATTGATGAATTATTATCCTTTTAGGACTTTGTTTTTAACTTTTCGGGACGACCTTTTAACGATTATTCTCATGACGATAGAAATTGATCCTTAAATGTTTTTTGCAACAAAATTTTTCCTTTTACAAACCGAAACATTTGATTTCTAAAACTCTTATATATTGTAATGTGATTTGGTTTGGTTTTGATAAAATTTATAAATATTAATAATTAAAATTTTAATTTTTTATGAATTTATAATTATTTTATAAAAACACTACTAATACCAAAAATTTTCCTGGAAATAAATCAAGAATAAAGTGGAAGGTACAAAGAATAAATAGAAAAAAAAGATGTGAGGAAAAAAAAGAAAACATAAACAAACAAAAAAAATTAAAATTAAAAAAATTTAATAGAATAAAAAAAAGGAGGAAAGTAAAATTGCACATGGGCTTCAAGTACGAGGAGTGCATGAAGCTTCTTCCTCGGCTCTTTTATGCTAGAAGTTTATTCTTACGTGTGTTCCAATTATTTTCTCAAATATGTCACGTATTTTTATTCTTCGCAAATGTATTTGTAAATTTAATTTTTTTTTTTGATTTTTCTAATTTTTTTATAAAGTGAAAAAAAATATTTAGAAATAATTTTTTTAATAGAATAGATAGTTGTAAAAATAAAATTAAAAAATTGATTAATGTTTACGAGATGACTCTTTGCGAAGAGAATAGATAGTTGGGAAGGACTTTTTGACTTTTTGACTTTTTTGAGTTTTTTTGTGAGAGAAGAATGTAATGATTATGGATTGGATGTGATGTTTTGTTTGTTATGGCTAAAATAGTCTATTTTGTTTTTTGTGACTAAAATAGCCAAAAGAGACTACAAACCCACTTGCCAAACACAGGCTTAGTTGGCATGGAATAAGAAATTGAATTATAAGGTGGCACTTACATTGAATTTTGTGCCATTCCATTGCAACCAAACACAAGATTGCGAGGGATGAGCTAGTTTGAATGATAATGATAATGTGCCTTTTGAGAATTTGATAAAAAATTAATTTTTTAGTTTTTTATCAAGTTTTTTTTTAAAAAGTTATAAAAAAATTATTTAAAAAATCAATTTTTTTACTAAAAAGTCAACAAAAAAATCAAAAAATCAAATTTTTACTAATTTCTCAAAATACTCAAGTAAATCTTGTTGAAAAATAAGGGGGAAAATTAAATTAAATATCTAATCGTTTAAAACTTGACCAAACTTAACAATTGGATACTCTCAATGTATAAACTCAAACTCAATAATGTTCAAATATATACAAAATTTTTAATAGTAGTCTAAAAACCGATACCATATCGATAAGGTAATTTCGTAATTTTCATAACTTAAATAAAAAATAAAGAATAAAAAAGTGTTTGTTAATAGAGGGCATCCAATTCTCAAACATGCATGTTACTCTCTTTTTCAGTATATATAATTAATTATATAGAAAGTGAACTATAATAGACCGGGGCATACCTACATTATAGTATGTGAACCCACTAAAATTTGAGAGGTAATTGGAGTTGATTCACTATTTTAACAAATATTTTGTAATGTTATAGGATAACTCAAAAAATTATTTAGTTGAAGAGAATACCTAATTTTAACATAAAAAAATATTGAAAAAGTTCGCCAAAATGTTATTCTTATTGAAAATTTAATTCAAAATAATAAAAAAAAAATAAAATAGGATGTCGTTAGCTTTTTAAATTTTTGATTTTTTTTAGTAACTTAAATACTATAAATCCTAACTTTGCCACTGATGCTTTTCTTCTCTTCTAAGCAAGTTTCCACAACTGAAAAATCAAAAGTTAAAAAAATAATAATAATAATTAATCTCTCCTTCAACTCAGCCTACAAATAGTTGGGTTAGTAAGCAACTCCTTTCATAATTTCTTCAACTTTACTCACTTGCAGGGGAGCAATTGAACCAAATATTTCATGGCTAGTCTCCACCAACTTTGCATGCTCTATCTATTTTGTCTACTTATCTCTCCCATTGCATCTAACCAAATCCCCCAGGTAAACACATATGGTTTTCTAACTAAATTATCTTTATTTTTATTTTATTTTTTTTCCATATTGATGAGAAAAAAAATAATAAAAAAAGGAGTAATTTGAAACCAGTTAAACCACAACTATCTTAAAGATGAAGATTTCCTCTCTTTTATTTCATTTGGTCACTAAGCAGAGCTTTCTCAGAATTTTTTTCCATTTTTTTTAATAACAAAATTTCATATTTATCTTAGATTTTGTTTGATAGATCTCTAAAAATAAGTAACAAAATTATAAATTTTGTCCACAATTTTTTTTTTCCTTTGATCAAAAATTTCGAGATTTTAAAGTACTGAAGAAAAAAAAAAAGAAAAACACTTGACATGTCACTTAGTAATGTTATAGGCGCAACTCAAATTTTAGCAGATTCATGGCATTATGGTCCTTGGGTAGCACTTGAAACTCATAAATAAGGTTAATGAAACTTTACAAAGACTTGAGAAAAAATCTAGCAAAATCGATTATAGAATCGAATACAATCTTCTCATATGAGGTGTGTTCTCACTTTTTTGTGGGTTCCGGACTCATGTGAGTGTCTAAATAGGACCTATCTCATAATTGTATTTCATTCTGTAATTAATTTATGTATAAATAAAAAAAATTTGAAAAATTAGTGGTGTGCAAGTGCATGTTATGATTTGCCCTCTTTTATTTCATTTGTATTTAATCACCACCTAGAGCTGTTAATATCATAATGCAGCCTTATGTCATATATATGGGGAGTTCAATAAATGGAAATGGAGGAGGCAATGCCACTGTTGCAGAGTTAGCAGCACGTCTGCAACTATTATCATCCATCATTCCAAGGTTGTTAAATCTTGTCATCTTTTTTCAATAACAAGAACTAAAATTTGACTATTAATCAACTGAATTTGAAGAAAAACACTAATTCTTTGTGAATTTTTTTTCCCATTTTTTTTTTTAATTTTGTTATGGGCAGTCAAGAGAGTGAGAGAGTATCTCTACTCAATTTTTACAGTCACGCATTTAAGGGGTTCTCTGCAATGCTTACGGAGAATGAAGCTGCCTTACTATCAGGTAAATTAAATTCTCTTCTTTGTTCTGTTCTCTTCATGTTTAAGCTTCTTTCACATGAAGATGATTAGCTTAAATTATTAAATTACTTTCTCTTTTTTTTTTTTTTTTTTCTTTTTTTTTGTACATATGAAGATGAATATAATTGCTACTCACGAACGAAAAAAAAAAAAGGGAGTAAATGGCACTATACCTCTTTTAAGGTGTGGATTAATATACATCAAACTCCACATATTTAATTACATTGAGAATACAGTTTTAATTGACATAAGAGTTTGTCTTATTTTCATCAGTAATTTGTTAGTTTTGTAGACGGAAAAATAATATGTTGTTATCTTTTTTACACTAAAATTTATATTTTACTTTGTTTATTGTTGTGTCTACACTATCTACATTAGTATGATTGCTCAAATGAAGTGATAATAGATTAATCAATTAATTCATGAAATTGTGAAAACAGGCCATGACGAAGTTGTATCCATCTTCCCTGATCCTATACTTCAACTTCATACAACAAGATCTTGAGACTTCTTGGATTCAGAATCTGGCATTCGATCATCACACAAATATCAACACATAACAAGCGATGTCATAATCGGAGTAATAGACACAGGTAATAATACCTTCTATACTGTTTTTGCATTTCCACGTATTTATAATTTTCACTTATATACGATATACTAATACTAATGTCTAAGCATCATGGGTTTTTTTTTTATTAAGTGTTGCTAATCTAAATTTGAAACTAATGCTAGATATATTGTTGTTAATGTTAGGTACTTGTGGACTAGTTTTTTCTTTCTAATTTGATTATATTTACTTTTTAGGCATATGGCCTGAGTCTCCAAGTTTCAATGATGATGGCATTGGAGAAATCCCTTCAAGATGGAAAGGAATTTGCATGGAAGGACCTGACTTTAACAAGTCTAGCTGTAATAGGTAATTATACATCCTTTTTTTTCCCAGGTGATAGTGCCAAACCAAATTAAGCCTTGTATCCCAATCAAGTAAAGCTGGTTATATGGATCTTTTTTCGCCCCAGAATACCCTTATAATAAGTTCAAGTTAGACTAATGCGGCTATTGATAAAAATTGTAAGATATTTTTTATGATCTTGGTCTGTAACAGGAAGATAATAGGAGCCAGATACTACAACATCCAAGATTTCTCAATCCAACCAAACTCTGATC